AAACTTTGAATACTAGTCTGTGCTCTCTAAATACTTTAGTACTTGGATACTAGTTCATGTATTTTGGATATCAGTTAGTATCTGCTAACGAATCTTCAAGTTAGCAGATTAACTTTTCCCCTTAAATTCAAGCCAACTATGAGCTTTTAGTTTGTACTTTGTACAAACCTACTCAAACAATTATTATTATTGAACATTATAATGATATAAGAAACCAAATTTTGGTTAGTGACCCTAATATCAAAATTAAGAACCATCTACAAGGTATACAAAGAGATCACAAAATATGAAATCAACATTCTCTTACAAAATTAAAAAAACGTTTACATAACAATACAATTATCGTTCAATAGAATGTGATTGTTCATATCTAGAAAGTCTCAACAAAAAAGTACTAAATTACAATCATCACATCTTGGTTTTCTTTTAAGGGTATGTGATTGACTACAAGTTTACTAAGTGACTGACTGGACTACTAATTACAATAAGTTAACAAATGAATAGTGATTTAAGCATTAATATCCCTTGTACCGTCTTAAACGAAAGAAACCGGGGGGAAAGTCAATCAATTGACGCGTGGGGTGGGACGGGCAAAATTCTGATTTCGGACCCAATTGACCCAGCTCAGCCTGACCCGAAATCCGGCCTTTACTTTTCCTCCTACATTCCCGAAACTACCCTTTTCCCGTGGGATAAAGCATGGGTCTTTCGGTACATTGGCGAACGAAATATCGCAATTTCCGCCCGTTATAAATTGACAAAAAGGAATGAAACGGCTCTTTCCATCTTCCCTAGCGAGGAGAGAGAGACGGAGAGATTTATTCAAGAGAAGCGTATTATTGAGACAACTGCCACCAATTTACAGAGAGGCTTTCCTTCCTTCCTTTTCTTCTCTCTTTCCTCTTTTCACTTACTTCTGTGGATTGGATTCTCAAGGGATCAAAAGGGCCCTTTTTGATTTTGCTCTTTCTCTTTTTTCGATCTGAGGGTTTCTCTCTCGACTATTTCGCCGTGCGGCTCGCTGTGGAGGGAGATCGGCAGAAGCGGAGGCAAATTAGGGGGAAAGGGCAAGCCGTAGCTAGAAATCTGGGTCCTGGGTTTGGAGAGAAAACGGCTGAATTTGGCGGTGGGGGGTGAAAGCAGCGGAGATCGACGAGGAGGGAAGCAGGGAAGGAGGAGCCAGAGAGCTGCTGGCTTCTATTTGCTGTCGTGTTGGGAGTGGGAAGTTGATCGCTTTACTCTGATTTGGTTTGTGGGTTCTGATAATCCATTTGTTTTTTGGTTTGGGGTGAGAAAGAGAGAAAGATGTGGTGGATGATGGGTGAGAATGGCGGCCATTACTGCTCGAAGAAGACAGATGATATATGTGGTGATGTTTGTGGTCAGGTAAATTGGTTCAAAATCCTTCATTTTGGGAATGAGATTTGTTTTTTGATTTATTTGCAAATTGCAATCCAGTTGCTCTTTTGATTACCCCAGCATTGTGTTTATGAGTCAACGAAACAGAGAGTTTGAGGAATGTTGATGTGGCTTTGGATCTTCAATATTATGTACCTTTCTCATACCAGGAAGAAACTCAAGCTGCAGAGCCGTGGAGATTTATTTAGATTGTGAAAGTTGCGGTTTTTGGAATTTGTTCTGGTGGAGAATTAGTTTTCTTTCGTTTGTTGATTTACAGATATTACTAGGGGGTTTGTTTTTTGAGATCCTTCCAATTTGGGTCTGTCATTTGCTCGTTAGAGGCTTCTTTTACTTAATGTCGCCTGCTTCTGTAGGGAACTGTATTTTTAATTATGTTTATTACTTTCTCTTGTTTGGGGACAAGGGTTGGAAAGATGAAGTGAGAAAGATGCCTAAAATTCCTTTACCGAGGGACTAACTCCCTGCAAAGCAATATTCTTCAGAATCTCCCCATCTTTTTATGTAATTTACTGACAATGTTGATGCCTTCTTGCCTAACTTTTCAGTATTTTTGAACTTTGACATGTGATCCCATCTTGAGTTATTTGTTTGGGTATACATGGCTGTAAAAAGCCTTATGATGAAAACATGCTTTGCCAGCCTTGATCTGAAATTGAACCTAGTTCTGAATGTGGGGTCCTTCCTTTGAAATTTGCAGGACTCTGGCAGGGTCTTGAGCATGTCAAGGATCAAGTGCATCCTTCGCGGTGTGGATTTGAGGACGATGTTGTTCCTCTTCATCCTTGTGCCTACATGTGTATATGGTATTTATTTACACGGGCAAAAGATCTCGTACTTCTTGCGGCCACTATGGGAATCGCCACCGAAAGGCTTCAATGAAATTCCGCATTACTACAATGAGAATGTAACAATGGAGAACCTGTGCAAGCTCCACGGCTGGCGGATTAGGGAGTTCCCAAGGCGTGTCTATGATGCAGTTTTGTTTAGTAATGAGATGGATATCTTAACACTTCGTTGGAAGGAATTGTACCCCTACATAACTCAGTTCATTCTTCTGGAGTCTAATTCTACATTCACCGGGACCGAGAAACTCCTCTATTTCGCCAACCATCGAGACCAGTTCAAATTTGTCGAGCCAAGGTTGACTTATGGAAATATTGGTGGCAGGTTCAAGAAGGGAGAGAATCCCTTCATCGAGGAAGCATATCAGCGAGTCGCGTTGGACCAACTTATTAAGGTTGCAGGCATTTCAGATGATGACTTGTTGATAATGTCGGATGTCGATGAGATTCCAAGCAAGCATACTATAAATCTCTTGAGATGGTGTGATGACATACCTCAAGTCCTCCACCTACGGCTGAGAAACTATCTATATTCGTTCGAGTTTTTTGTGGACGACAGCAGCTGGAGAGCTTCTGTCCACAGATATAAGATGGGGAAGACACGGTATGCACACTATCGCCAGTCGGATGACATATTGGCCGAAGCCGGGTGGCATTGCAGTTTTTGTTTTCGGCGTGTGAGTGAGTTCATCTTCAAGATGAAGGCTTACAGTCATTTTGACAGAGTGAGGTTCAAACGTTATTTGGACCCTGAAAGAATCCAGAAGGTGATATGCAAAGGTGCGGACTTATTTGATATGCTACCTGAGGAGTATACCTTCAAGGAAATCATTGGGAAAATGGGTCCTGTTCCTCATTCTTATTCGGCAGTCCACCTTCCTTCTTACCTTTTGGAGAATGCTGATGAGTACAAGTTTCTCTTGCCCGGTCATTGCTTGAGAGAAAGTGGGTGATTCTGGTTTTTGACTATCCCGACATTTTGCTGCTGTAAAGTTGAGTTGGATGTTGAGGAATCCAGCTCATATGTTTGAGGACTAATGGATTTGTCGCTATTACAGCAATGCTGCAATCTAGATAACCCAAACTTGAGGTGTTACAATTGCTTGCGGCAGATTCGTGGAGGATCAGACATTATGTATATAGCCTTTCTTCCGGGTTTGAGCTTGATGACAGGAGGTGGTGAGTGGAGTTTGACCAAGGCACAAGAAACTTGCTGCGATTAGAACAGTCTGCTATAATGTTGTTTACAAACACCCTTGTGCTTGTGTAGTTATTAGAATTGGTGTGAAACATGGATTCTCGAAGGAATGCTGGATTGTGAGGGTTTCAGTTGATGATGTCCCCTTCATGGAGGGGGAAAATTTTGTGTTGCAGACATTTATTTGATGATGTGTCATTAACTCCTTGATTCATGATTATATCCGGATTTGTGTTTAGATCTCTAATTTTATCCAGAGTACGGACTATACCTCCCTAGTTACAGTTACTATGGTCTAATTACTTGGTGGCCAAGCAGGCATCTGCGAAATTTCGCAATTGTTTTTTCCTCCTTTTTTAGAAGATCAAACATCAATGAACCGAACGTGGTGGCAAGATCTTGCTAAGAATCCATCTCTGTACAGACTTTCTTATTTTTTGCAGGAGGAAGGTTACAAGACATGCTTCTGCCTTATTGTATGGAGTTTTTTATGGTAAGACATACAGACAGTCTGTAAGATTCCATGCGGCCCGAATATAATATTCAGGGACAACCTACTTTTGTTTCCAGATCAGACCAGGCATTTCCCCCTATTATGTTTTTATTTGCCTGTTTCTCTCGCTCTCTCCTCCACCTGAAACGTTTACTTGTTGTATGCAAGAATGCCTGATTGCAGGCCAATCATTCTCGAGGATCGATCATGTTCAATCCAAATCCATATGAGCTTATAAATAAGATTAGGAGTTTTGCTTCGCTGTCAGTGAATGGTAAGATTATTTCTCTTCTTGAACTTGGATGAATGGTTCTTTCTGCGAAATCAACCAGAAAAGTGAGAAGTGGTGGAGATAGAGAGAGAGAGTTGGATTCCAGGGTATAGGTCATTTGGACAGCTCCTCCAAGTGGTAGATAGTGAATAATTTGAAAAATGGTGATAAACGGGTCCATATGGAGAAGAGTCTGGCCATAGAAATGGCATCAACAACTTTTTTTCTCTCTCGAAGGATTCCTTGAGATGATGATGTGACGCAAAAGAATCCAACTGTATGTAAACATTGCAGGCACTATTCATTAGTACCTTATGCTTGTGTATAGAATGCAGTCCTTAGATGGCATCTGTTAATTTTCAGAAGTTCAACCAGAAATCAACACATCACCAATCAGACAATGCCAAATTACTTCTTCAACAAAATATCGTCAATCGGAAGAAAAATTATGGTGGTTTTAGTCCGTTAACTATATTGTTTAAACAAATACGTCCACATATTAGGAAAGATAAAGCGTGTGTGTGTGCTAAGCAATGATTCGATGCTAACTACAACTAATTCGAATGGAAATTACATAAAAAATAACCTCTTTTTACACCACTCATTGCAGAAAATGGAGGGCACCAGAAAAAGTGGAAGACCTTTCAGGCCATAATGCCAAGGAATGGGATCAAAAAGTGTTCTTCTTCCACATTGAAAGGTTTGGGAATGAGATGCATTCTTATCATCACACCTGAACAACGATTATGCCCTATAAAAAGGCTCCCTCATTCAGCTGCAAGACTCACATCTCAAGTAAGCATAGCCAACAATGATTTCAGACATCACACGCTTCAGTGAGCCCTTCCCCACTAAGATGAGGGGCTATGGTTTCCAGGAGGAGAGCTATTCAGCTCACGAGGAAGAGTCGTATCACTCCGAGGAAGAGTTCCACAGCAGCAGCAATGGCTCTTCTGGTGGTATAAAGTTTTTCCAGCCTGCAAAGTTTCAATCCATGTCAGGGCATGATGGTGCAGACTGGAAGAGCAACAATAAGTTCAATCACAGTGACACCATGAACCACCAAAACGGCGGCTGGGGTGGTCATGATGCTCACCGGTTTGATCAGGGCCATGGCGTGAAGCATCAGAATGGGGGCTGGAACAATGGTCATGATGCTCAACGTTTCGATCAGGGACATGGGATGAAGCAGCAGTATGGTGGCTGGAATAATAATGGTCATGATGCTCACCGTTTCGATCAGGGCCATGGGATGAAGCAGCAGCATGGTGGCTGGAACAATGGTCATGATGCTCACCGTTTCGATCAGGGCCATGGGATGAAGCAGCAACATGGTGGGTGGAACAATGGTCTTGATGCTCACCGTTTCGATCAGGGCCATGGGATGAAGCAGCAGAATGGCAGCTGGAACAATGGTCACCATGGCTTGGAATCTGCTGGTGGGATGATGAATGGCAAGTATGGGACTACTGCTGTTACTGCTGCACATCAGAAGGTGCAGTATCCTGCTGCTCACTCCTTCATACACGAGGAAGAAGCGATGACGGGATACAATGGTGGCCATCGATTCAGTGGCTTCAATGATAGCTTTGGTGGTGGCTATGGAAGGAACAATGGCTGCAGCAATGTTGATTGGATGTCCAAGGCGATATAAGTAGCTTCCTACTCAGGGAAGGAAGTGGGGTCATGGCTTTCTTCACTACTGATAATAAGTGCCTGTTTGGTTTGTGTGTCTTGTTTGATGGGTTATTCTGCTGGCTTAGTACATGGTCTACTATGTTGGCCTCTTAATATGTGTACTGCTGTTGTCTATCCATAAGCAATAAAAGGCTGCTATTTTAGTGAATCAGAGAAGTGGTTTATGAGCTTTGATTCCCTTGTTCTAGCATGATTTCATAAGATTGGTAACACAAGCGACAAGGTGGAATGCAACCCAATCAAGCATCAAGAGAGTCAACTGTAGTGTGATTCTTTTGGCCTAAATTGGTTGCCTGATTAAGGTAGGGTCGTTGAAGGCAGATAGATGCCTTGAGCACTAAGAAAGCCTGGTAAAAGGTAGATTGATTCTTTCAACTTTAGGATAATAATACAATAATGAAAGGAAGAGCTCGGAAAGGAGGTAAAAGCTCAAACTCAAACAATACGGAGGGTTGATCTGTTGAAGGGAAGCTTGTCAATTAGTGAAGCCTGCAGGAAATGGCCAAAGAAGGAAACTCTGTCTCGACAAGCAATTTAGGAAAGGTCTCTCAATCAAGCAAGATTGACTTGCCAATCAATCAAGATCAGATCGAATCCTCAAGATTGGGATGAACTAATGGCTAGGAAGATGGGTATAAGGTTAGAAGAATTGAGAAACGGTGGTTTTCACCTTTTTCACTTAGCAGTTCAAAAATAGAGTCAGGGAGATAGTCTGTGTTTTGAAAGAAAAAGGAGAAAGCTGTCGGAGAGAGAGCTAGTAGAGAGTGTTGATAGTTAGGTTGAGGCATCGGCAGGGAGCTAGTGTCTCGAGTGTGATTCTGATCAGGTGACAGGGAGTCACTGAGAGATCGATGTTGTATCTCTGTAACTGAAACACAAAATCTTAGTGCAACGTCGAAGGTCTCGGATCAGAGGTCCTTCGACCGTGGATTAGTCGGTGTTAGGTTCACTATTTGCCTAACACCGAATACCACGTAAAAATATCGTGTCTCGGTTTATGTGCTTACTTCTGTGCTTTCCATTTTCAGTTCTTATTAGTGTTCTTGATCTTGTGCGAGTGTGAATTTTGAAGAAGACAGGTTGTTGATCGATTGGGTTAAGGCAAAGAGGAAGTTACTCAGTCTTCAAAACGCAGGGCTTCATCTGAGCGTTTTGGGCCGAATAAACTTTGACATCCTGATATCAGAACGAGCCCAACGCGTGTCAAAACCAAGTAACTAATACGCTGTCGGTTTAACAAACTCAAACAGAGAAGTCTCTTTCCCTTCTCGTCGATTTCATTTTCCATTCACTTCACCTACCTTCACTTGGTTTTGTCAAAGTCGAAATTAGGGTTTTCAGAGTTCAATTTGATTGAAGAAAAGGGAGGACAAGAGCCTGAGTCTCGCGCTCGACTCGCACCAACACGTGGTATCAGAGCCTGGCTCCGGCGAACAAGGGGTAAGTACCTGCGGAGGAAATGAGCTCGAGTGCAAGCAATGGTGGAGTGTTCATGGCCGACGGATTCTCTCAGACCAGGCCCCCAAGATTCGAAGGAGTACACTACGGTTATTGGCGCAATCGCATGGAGCTGTTCATAGGATCGACCGATCCTGATCTCTGGAGCATTGTGCTAGATGGACCACTTGAAGTGAAAGAGGTACGAGGGAAATGGTCCGATGAAGATAAGCGGAACTTCCAATTAAACTCCAAGGCAGTGTCCATGAAACCGTACCGTACTGAAGGTTCAACCACGAAATACCAGTATAGGAGGCTAAACCGGTAGGCGGTATTTAACGGTATAATGGTTGAACTATGGTTAAACCACGGTTTTACCATAAAATACCCTAAAACTTACTTTCCCGATACGATCTCCGGTACGGTTTCATGGACCATGCTCCAAGGCGACAAACCTCATGTACTGTGCGCTGGGTCCTGAAGAGTATCATCGGGTCTCCGGATGCAAAACTGCAAAGGAGATCTGGGATAAGCTGCAAGTGGCTCACGAAGGTACCAGTCATGTCAAAGTATCCAGAATTAATCGATTGAAGCAGGATTTCGAGTCTTTCGTGATGAAGCCACAGGAAACCATCAAAGAAATGCACGATAGGTTCACCACCATAGTAAACAGTCTAAGGAACCTGGGTGTAGAGTATGGGAGCGGAGATTTGGTGAGGAAAGTGCTTTGGGCTCTTCCAAAACGTTGGACTCCTAAAGTCACTGCAATTGAAGAGTCGAAGGATTTGACAAGGTTGAGTTTAGATGAACTCATGGGTTCACTAATAACACACGAAGAAAAAATCAGAAGAGAAGAAGGAGAGGAGTCTCGAAAAGAAAAGAAGAGCATTGCGTTCAAGGTGTCGACACCAGAAGAAGAATTTGATTGTCTGGAAGACATGGAAGATGAAGAATTGGCCATGCTAAGTAAGCATGTGGCCAAGCTACTCAGACTGCGCAAGGAAAAGAGGAAAGGAGGTCTCTCCAATCGCACAAGAGAGGGTGATTCAGAAAAGGAGCAAGGGAAGACCTTTAGGACCAATCCTAGAGTAAGACGAGAATTCAGCAGTAATGACAACAAGGGTGGATCGACAGCTGGATGCTTCAAGTGTGGGAGAAGTGGACACATCAAAGCAGAGTGTCCACAATTGAAGCGAGAAAAAGCATACACAGCCACTTGGAGTTGCAGCGAGGATGAAGAGGAGGAAGTCGACCCCAAGTATGAAGCATACATGGCCTTAGATGAAAGTGACGATGACATTGAAGCTTCACAGGTAAGTAATCTTAACTACTACTCTGATTCATGTGATGATGATGGTCAATTGATAGAAACTATAAGGGATATTCAGATAGATTTTGCACGAGTTAAATCAAAACATGCTAAAAGGAAATTAGAGTTTGAAGAACTATCTAAGAATTACAATAAACTGAAAAAGGAAAAACTAGAATGAGATAGAAGATTGGAAGAAGTCTTAAGAAGAAACGCTGTTCTAGAGAAAACATGTTCTAAAGGTCAGGAAGAGGATAATCACCTGCATATAAAACACAAAAGACCATCAGTAACAAAAACAAACTATAAAAGGTCAACTCCTGAGTGTTTTTACTGTCATGGATTAGGACATTATATTTCACATTGTCAGAAACGAATAGCTAAGGAAACTAGATTAAAGGAAACAGTGTGTTAATCTTGTCATAAAACAGGACATATGAGCTATAATTGCACTAGTGCCAAGATAAGAAATAGAGTATCCAAATTGATATGGATACCTAAAATCAAGTAAAAATATTTTTGTGTCCAGGTCTGCTTCCAAGTGAGCATGGAAGACAGTGAATGGATACTGGACAGTGGCTGCTCACACCACATGACAGGAAATGAAAAACTTTTCACTAAATTGACTAAGGGTAAGAAAGGTAAGGTTTACTTTGGGGATAATTTCTGCACTGATGTTCTAGGAAAAGGAGAAATTGGATCAGGACCAACTATAACTAACGTAATGTGGGTTGATGGGCTTAAGCATAACTTATTCTCAATCAGTCAAATGTGTGGAGAAACAAATAGAGTAATTTTGCGAACCAAACAAATGTTATGTAGAGAACATTGAGAGTGGCAAAGTATTGTTCACGGGTAGAAGGAAAGGAAAACTGTTTTGCATAAATCTGAACAACAAAAAGGATTTTAATGAGATGTGTTTGGTATCTGTAAACAAAGATGAACAATTAGAATGGCATAGGAAGATGGGGCACATCAGTGTAGGATCTTTAGCTAAACTGGTAAGCTTGGGAAGTGTAACTGGAATACCTAAATTTAGTAGTAAGAAGGAATTCTTTTGTGAAGCTTGCACAAGAGGTAAACAAGTCAGATCCACTTTTAAGAGTAAACCTGTAATTTCTACATCTAAACCACTAGAATTGCTTCATCTGGATCTCTTTGGACCATGTAATGTAATGAGTCTTGGTGGAAAATACTATGCATGTGTAGTAGTTGATGATTACTCTAGGTTTACATGGGTTCTATTTCTCTCAAACAAAGGAGAGACATTTGTGCAATTTAAGAATCTAGTTAAACGACTAGAAAATGAAAAAGGAACCAGAATTGTAAGCATAAGAAGTGATCACGGGGGAGAATTCATATCTGATAGTTTTGATAAGTTTTGTGATGAAGCAGGAATTTTTCATAATTTTTCAGTCCCTAGAACTCCACAGCAAAACGGAGTAGTGGAGAGGAAAAATCGCACCTTAATTGATATAGCTAGGACAATGGAGGAATTTTACAATGTTATATAGCATTGGTGCTATAGGTTTTTACCTTTATGGTACAACTTGAAATTGTACTTTTAATGTTATGGTACAACTTCAGATTGTACCTATACTTTTTGTACAAATTCTTTTATGGTACAACTTAAACTTGTACCTTATGTGATGGTACAACTTCAAGTTGTAAAGTTGTACCATAACATAATGATACAAATTCCTTTATGGTACAACCTAAACTTGTACATTTAATGTTATGGTACAACTTCAAGTTGTACATTAAAGCACCAATACTATATAGCATAGTAAAAGTGCTCAGGACAATGTTGAATGATTATGGCTTGCCTAAACATTTTTGGGCAGAAGCCATAAACACTGCATGCTATATTATCAATAGAGGCTTAATCAGGTCTAAACTAAACAAAACACCATATGAGTTATGGAAAAACAGAAAACCAAATGTTGCATACTTTCATCCATTCGGATGCAGATGCTTTGTATTGAATATCAAAGACAACTTAGGGAAATTTGACTCTAAATCAGATGAGGCAATATTCCTAGGGTATTCTATTCATAGCAGGGCATATAGAGTGTATAATAAAAGGACCCTCAAAGTTGAGGAGTCCATAAATGTGGTATTTGATGATTCCCCTAGTGAGTGTGCAGATCCAATTGATGAAGATGATGATCTCGGGTTAGGAAGATCAATTACATCAAATCAAACTAAGCAAGCTGAGCAGGAGACAAGAAATGGAGATTTACCAGAAATGACAAATCAAGAATTTGAAGTAGAGACTGATGTGAACAGAGTCAAGGAAGCCCCTTTACACATTCAGAAATGGCATCCACCATCACTAGTCATTGGTGATATAAGAGAAGGTATGGTTACTCGATCCAAACTATCCTCTGTGAATGCTGCCTTTGTGTCTCTACTAGTTCCTAAAAACATT